TGGTACACTAAAGAACCCTAGAGAATCAACTAAAATATTAGTTGAAACAATTAACAACTTTAAGAAAGTTACAGGATATAAAATAAACCCACATAAATCATTGGCATTTCTATATATTAACAACAAAACCCAGCAGCAGGAGATAAAAAGAGAAATCTATCTAAAATAACTGCAAACATTATAAAATATTTGGGAGTCTATCTGTCAAGACAAACCAGGACTATATGACCACAATTACGAAACACTTCACACAAATAAATACAAATCTAAACAACTTAGAGAAATATTAATTGCTCATGGATAGGTTGAGCCAATATAATAAAAATAACAATTCCACCAAAATTAATTTACCTATTTGTTGCCCTACCAAACAAACTACCAAAGAATTATTTTATAAAGCTAGAAAAAATAACAAAATTCATCTAGGAGGACAAAAAGTAAAGAATATCAAGGAAATCTAGGAAAAAAAATTAACGAATCAAATGAAAAATGTAAAGGAAGGTAGCCTAGCAATACCAGATTTCAAACTATAATACAATGCTGTAATCATTGAAAAAATCTGGTACTTGATAAGAAATAAAGCAATGGATTAGTGGAATAGATTAGGTTCACAATACACAGTAGTAAATGACCACAGTAATCTAGTGTTTGATAAACCCAAAGAACCTAGCTTTGGGAGCAAGAACTTGCCATTTGACAAAAATTGCTGGAAAAACTGGAGAGAAGTATGGCAGAAGCTAGGCATAGAACTACATCTCACACCATATACCAAGATAAGGTCAAAATGGGTATATGATTTGGACATAAAGCATTATATAATAAGCAAATTAGGGAAGCATGGAAAATTTTACCTGCGAGATCTACAGATAAAGAAAAATTTACAATCCAACTAAAGATACAGAAGATCATTAAAAGTAAAATATAAAGTTCTGATTACATGAAATTTAAAACACTATGCACAAGCAAAATGAAGGAAGCCAAAATTAGAAGGAAAGTAAGATATTGGGAGGAGGGCAGGATTTTACAGCAAGTTTCTCTAATAAAAGGCCTCATTTCTCAAATATACAGGGAACTGAGACAAATTTAGAAAATTAATACCCATTCCCCAACTGATAAATGGCCAAAGGATATGAACAGGCAATTTTCAGCCAAAGAAATCAAAGCTATCTATAGTCATATGAAAAAATGCTCAAAATCACTACACTACCGATTAGAGAAATGAAAACAATTCTGAGGTACCATCTCACACCTATCAGATTGGCTAATATAACAGAAAAGGAAAATGACAGATACTGGAGGGAATGTGGGGAAACTGGGATACTAACGCACTGGTGGTGGAGTTGTGAACTGATCCAACCATTCTAGAGAGTAATTTGGAACTATGCTATAAGGGCTATAAAATTGTGCATAACCTTTGACTCAGCAATACCACTACTTGGTCTGTATTCCAAAGAGATTTTCAAAAAAGAAAGGAAAGGAAAAGAAAAGGACCTATATGTACAGAAATATTTCTAGCAGCTCTTTTTGTAGTGGCAAAAAAGTGGAAACTAGGGGGATTCCCATCAATTGGGGAATGGCTAAACAAGTTTTGGTACACAATTGCAATAAAATACTATTGTGCTATAAGAAATGATGAGCAGGATGCTTTCAGAAAAACATGAACTGATGTAAAGTGAAGTGAGCAGAACCAGAACACTGTACACAGTAACAGTAATACTGAATGATGATCAACTATGAATGACTTAGCTATTCTCAGACTTATGATGAAAAAAAGTTATCCATCTCGACAGAAAGAATTGATGGAGTCTGAATGCAGATTGAAGCATACCCTTTTTTTTTTACTTTTTTCTTGTTTTTTTTTTCTTGGTATGTATTTTCTTTCACAACATGACTAATATGGAAATGTTTTGTATGACTGCACATGTATAACCTTTATCAAATTGCTTGCCTTCTGGACTTCAGAAAAAATTGGAAAGACTTGTATGGACTGATGCTGAGTGAAGTGAGCAGAACCAGGAGAACATTGCAATAACAGCCATGTTGTGCAATGACTAAGGTTGATAGACTTAGCTCTTCTCAGCAATGCAAGGATCTAAGACATCTCCAAAGGTCTCATGATGGAAAATGCTATCCATATTCAAAGAAATAACTATGGAGTTTGAATGCAGATTGAAGCACACTATTTGCTATTTTTTTTCTTTTGTATTGTTTTGTTTTCTCTTTCTTGTGGTTCCTCCTATTGGTTCTAATTCTTCCTTACAACATCACTAATGTGAAAATATGTTTAATAGGAATGTATATGTATAGCATATATCAGATTGTGCTCCATCTTGTGCAGGGAGGTAGGGAGGAAGGAGAAGAAAAATTTTAAACTCAAAAGCTTATGGAAGTGATTGTTGATAAATCAAAATAAATTAATGAAAAAGTGAAAAAAATTGCTTGCCTTCTCAATGATGGGGGAGGGGATGGAGGGAAGGAGAGAATTTGTATCTCAGAATTTTAAAAAAACTAATGTTTAAAATTATTTTTACATGTAACTGGAAAAAATATGAAGAAATATATGCATAAATAAAAAAAAGAAAAAAAAGAAAAGGTTACTGTTTAACCTCAGTGAACAATTATTTAAAACAGTAGCCTAACTTAAGGAAAGGTCTAGATCCCTCCTCTACTTCTCTCTTTAGAGATGCCAACAAACAAAATCTATTACACTATGGATCAGCAACTTTTTTGGTGTTGAGAATCAATAAAAAGTCCAGGCAATGCATATGTGTGTGTTGTGTGTGTGTGTGTGTGTGTGTGTGTGTGTGTGTGTGTGTGTGTACTAAATTGCAGGCAGTATAGAGAAAGGAGGAAGAAGATAATAAAAGAAAGAGAAAGAGGAAAGAGTAAGAAAGATTATTCATTTGCTGGTAATGGCAGCATAGCACTTTTTCAAAGTCCTTCAAATAGAATAGCTTGGGTCAAATGTCTCAAATGCAATCTCATTCATGTTAGCTATATGGATATGCAAAACAGTTAAAAGAATACAAAGATTTCAATTTCACTTAGCCCTCAGCACCTTGTGAAAGCTTGGCAATCCAAAGTATCCAGTTCACAGAATTACACAGAAACTATATATACAACAAATGGCACCTAAGTTAAATAGATCTGTTTATTATTTATTTAAAGTCTATTTATATAGACCAAAAATAAGCAATAAAAACTGATTTATATCCCAAATCTTTTGGTTTTGAGTTTACCCTCTTACCCATACCCCCAAAAAACACACATATCAAACTGAAGATAAACTTAAAACTTTTTAGGTGGAAATTTCAAGCCCAGACAATTTAAAGTAATTTCTGCTAGTATGGAGCAAAAACTAGTTTATGTCAATCAGAAATATTCAGAGTACCCTTAGGGGACTCAAGGGCCTTCTTTTCAACTCCATTTATACACCTTAACATGAAATATGTGTTCACAATATCCTGCTTCTAACAGAAAATACATTTACTCTTAACATGGACAATTGCTATGCTATATCACGAAATGCTCTATTGCCCTCACTTTGAGCTACGTTCTCTGCACAAGAGCAAGAGAAAAGCACTTGAATCACATATTAGCAAAGCTAATTGTAGAATGAAGACTCATCAGTAAGAAATATTTCAAGACTGATTCAACAAGAGATGAAGCATAAACTGAGGTTCCACAACAAGTGTATATCAACTATTAGTGATGTATAAACTGCAGTATTCATTCCCAGTTTGAGCTGCTAGATGGATTATTTAAACCTTAGTAACAATATATGTGCAAGATTATTTTTGCCCTCAAAATTCAATGCTATTTTACCATAATTACCAAGACACAACAATAAATGAACTACCAGTGACAGGGGCATATGTTACCTGAATATGTCTAAACATGTTCACAATCCTTTACAACTTGGACCTAACCTATGTTTCTAGTCTCATTGGACGTTATTCCTTCTCTCAGACTTCTTTCTTCTCCTCACATGTGGTGACTTTGCACTTGGCCATTCTGCATATCCTCTCCTCCTTCTCTACTCCATCCCCAACATATCTTTCAATCCAATGACACCGACCTCCTGGCTGTCCCTCATACAAGATACTCTATCTCTTGAATCAGCATTTTCACTGGCTGCCCCCCTCCCCATTCAAGGAATGCTTTCCCTTTCCATCTCTGAGTCCTGGCTTTCTTCAAGTCCTAATTAAAATCCTAACTTCCATAGGAAGCCTTTCCCAATCTCTCTTTAATTCTAGGGCCTTACTTCTTAATTACCTCCAACTTATCCAGAATATATTCTGTTTGTACAGTTGTTTGTGTGGTGTCTCCCCACTAGACTGTGAGTTCCTTGAGAGCAACAACTTTTATCTTTCTTTATATCCCCAGTGCTTAGCACAATACCTGGCACATAGTAGGCTCTTAATGTTTACTGACTAATGATGGATTATATTTATTCTTCATATACTTATATATGTACTCATCTCCTCCATTGGAGTATAAGCTCTTTGAGACAATAGATTTCTTCATTTTTGCACTTGTATTCCTAGCATCATGTTTGGAACAGAGTAAGTAGTCAATAAATATGTATTAATTGAACAGATCTTTTAAACACTATGTCTCTAAGTTCTTCAACCAAGCAGATATATTCTGAAGAATATAATAACTACTGGGTCAGTTTTTCCCTCTTTTAACTAGATAAATATCAAAGTTTGAAAAGCACAAAAGGCTATGGGATATTTAATGATTTAAACTAGTGAATTTTTAGGTTTTTGGGAAACTATAAAAGATTAGACTTAAGATCTAAAATACCAACTTGGTCATAGTTGTATCCTGTAGCAGCCCTTTATGAACTGGAAAACAAGCAAAACTATCTTGCTGAATGTTTCAAGAATTGTTCTTGATTCAGAACCACAGATTTCATCTCCTAAAAATCAACTTTCATTCATATTTATTTATCCCTCTGTAATCATAAACTTATATAGTACTAATTAGTTTCTTACCTTGGATTTAGCATACCATGTGAAGTGAAGGTAATTGGTGTCACTGGGTACTAGCAGGTTAAAGGATAGTGCGTAGTGATTAATAAGATCATTTCTCACATAATAAAGTTCTGCATCAATACCTAGAAAAACAAGAATAAGGAAAAAAGAAATTTATAAATGATAAATTAAGTTAATGATAAACATGAGTTATTTCTATTCACCACTAACAGATCAGCCTTCTTTGTGTACCCCTCTAATTATGTCACCTCTCTGCTCAAAAACCTTCAATAGTTCCCTATGACCTCCTAAATAAAGTCAAAACTCCCTAGTCTGGCAAAATGCTAGGGCTACTCTACCTTTTCAACCTATTCACTAGTCAAGTCAAATTAGCAAATATTAGGTACCTAAATCATGCAAACCACTGTCTAGACAAGTAAACTTTCTCTTTCAGACTGTAAGCTAGCCATAAGATTCTACAAATCTGTGAAGACCACCTATTTTCCATTTTCAAGCCAGCTGTCATTGATGATAAGAATAACAATAACAACAATAATAATAATAAATTTCATCTCCAACTTAGCTTATAAAAGGTGTCAGGAAGAACATAACCACCTCTGTCATGCATTTGTTTCAAACTGTTTCACTCTGTATCAAGTTTTAAGTGAGAGGATAAAAGGAAAACAAAAAGGAGGTGGTGGTAAAGAAAGAAAGAAAGAAAGAAAGGGTGGAGTAGGTAAGGCCAAAAAAAAAAGGTGGAAAGGAGATGAAAAAGAGACTATTATGCTGCTTGCAAATACAAACTCTTAAAAATTGCTACTTTGGCATAGCTTTTGTCACAAAACAGATACTTAGAAGTAAAAAACAAAAATCGCTACTTTGGCATTGCTTCTATCACAAAATAGATACTTAGTTTGAAGTAAAGGCTTCTGTAACCAACAGTAGAATGAATTATTGTGCAGAGAGAAAGATGATATTAAGTGTCCCCCCGCGAACCCTACAATGTTCAGAGATCTTAAAGGGAATCAGATAAGACAAAGGGCATGGGAGTGGTTTTGTTACATTCTGATGCTCTTAAAAGACAGGACTGAGGGGTGGGGACAAAAAAAAATATTAAAGAATTAAGGAGCAAAGGTAGGGGAAACACTAACTGTGGTACACACAAAGAAATCTATACAGACAAGTAAAGGGTTGGGGGAGTGGACATCACCTGAACCTCATTTTCAAATGAACTTATCAAAGGAAAGCAGAATGTACTTTCATCTACACGCGCGCACACACACACACACACACACACACACACACACACACACACGAAATGGATGGATAACTATATTCAACTAAATAGGGAAACAGGAAGGAAAAGAGAAGAGAAAAGAGGGAATAAGACAGAGGGTAGACTCCAGGAGTTACTCGTAAGTAAAACAAACTAAATTTGAAGGATGAAGAAAATAAAAGGTAAGAATCTATGATAGATAAAAAGAAAGTGGGGAACAAAGAAAATAAACTATAAAAGAATAGTGTGGAGGAAATACACAATTGAAAATCATAACTGTGAAGAATAAGATGAATATAATAGCATTTATATAGTACTTTAAAGGTTATAAAGCACTATATATTATATATATGTATATACCTACAAAAGAGAAGAGATAGAATGGATTAGAAAGCAGAATCCAACAATATGTTGTTTACAAGAAATACATTTGAAACAAAGATTGATAGAGTTAAAAGAAGTTGAAGAAAAATCTATTACGTCTCAGTTGAACTCAAAAAATCAAGACTAGCAATCGTGATCTCATACAAGGCAATCTCAAAAAAACATGACTTTATAAACAGGGGAAACTACATTTTGTTGAAAAGTACAACAGACAATATCATCGTTTAACATTTATGTAATGATCTAACATCTAAATACTCAAAGGAAAGGCCAAACTAGTTGTAGGGAGCAACAGACAGTAAAGTTATAATAGTGAGGACCCCCAATGTACCCCTTTCAGAGGTAGACAACTCTAAACCAAAAAATAAATAAATAAATAAACAACAGAAAAGTTTAGGGCCCAAATTTATCCTTTTTTTTTTAAATTTTTTTTGATTGGGCAATGGGGGTTAAGTGACTTGCCCACGGTACGGCCCAAATTTAAAAAAAAAAAACTCTCTGGTGATTAATAAATGGGAAGAGAAATTGATATATCTATTTCTCAGCTGTTCATAGCACCTTTCTAAAACTTACCATATATTAAGCAGGACATAAAAAAGTCACAAACAAGGGCAGAAAAGCAGTAATATTAAACACATTCTTTACTAGCCACATTGAAATAAAAATTATATTTTAAAAGGGCCCAAGGAAGAAAAAGTAACTAAATCCTATAGAACTGGTGGGTCAAATAACAAACCATAATATCAACCAATAATTTTATTAAAGATAATGACAACAATGAGATAGCACACTAAACATTTTTGCGATATAGGCAAAGCAGTCCTTAAAGGGAAAATGTTTATCTCTAAACACTTTAATCAATTAAAAAAGAGAGGATAGATTAAAAATAAAAATTGGATATGCAACTAAAAAACTAGAAAACCAACTTTTTGAAAAAATTCAACCCCAATTAAACAACAAAATACAAATTCTGGGGTAGAGTTCTGGGAGCCAGGATGACAGAGTAAGAAGTAAGTCAATCTCACCATCCCCTTATTAACCTCTGAAAGCCCAGAAAACATCACCCCAGGAAAATCCCTGGAACAGCTGAACCAGCAGAAAGACAGGGTGCAGCAGTCCTGGTGGCCCACAAAACTTGAGGAATTAACAGGAAAGGCCCCTCTTGCCCTGCGGGAGGGAGAGCAATACAGAACAGCAGGCTTCCCAGCAAGCTAGCAGAAAGCCCTACCTCAGCATACCAAGGGGAGATCCGGAACCCCAGGTGATGGAGCAGGCAAGCACCAACACCAGGACCCTCAATGCCTCAGTACGGGCAGGGGAACCAGTGAAAACTGGCTAAGAAAACCACCACATGCCATGGTGTTCTATGGCAGCCAAGTCTCCCAGTGCCTCAGTAAAACTCTGGGAAGCACAGCTCCAAAGGGGAAAGCCTTGGGCAGAGAAACATGCAGCAGTGAAATATCCATCTGAAAGAAGCTGAAGAAAGCTAAAGGAAAGGCCGGGGTGAACAGGCTGCAGGGACCAGGCTACCTAATCCTACCCCTAGAGTTCCAGTGTTGTTGATTCCAGCCCCACACCAGGTAAGCTGCCAGAACCCTACAGCCTCCAATTGCCAGCATTGGAGGCCTCAGCACTCAAAGTCAGTGACCAGGCCCTGTGCTCCCAACACAAGAAGCTTGGGTCAGTGCCCCCTTACCTAGAATCAGAAGGTAAAATAGTCATAGAAAGAATCCACCAACCACCTCCTAAAAGAGATCCCAAACAGAAAATGCCAAGGAATATAGTAGCCAAATTCCAAAATTACCAGGTCAAAGAGAAAATACTGCAAGTAGCCAGAAAGAAACAATTTAAATATCATGGAACCACAGTCAGGATTATATAGGACCTTTAATCTACATTAAAAGATTGTAGGGCATGAAATACGATATTCTATAAGGCAACGGAGCTTAGATTACAACCAAGGATCGACTACCCAGCAAAAATGAGCATAATCTTTCAGGGGAGGTGATAGACATTCAAAGAAATAAGGGACTTCCAAACCTTCCTGGTAAAAAGACCAGCGCTCAACAGAAAATTTGATCTTCAAATACAAGACTCAAGAGAGACATAAAAAGGTAAATGGGACAGAAAAAAACATGTTATTAATAAGGGCAAACTGTTTACATCCCTACAAGGGAAGATGACACTTGTAACTCTTGAGAACTGTATTGTTATTACACCATTTTAAAGGGGTACACATAGATAGAAGGGGTGGATATAAGTTGACTTTGATGCAATGATAAAAAAAGATCTCATCAAGTGGGTTAAATGGATATAAGTAAGTGGATTAATCTGATCTAACTAAGGGAATGTACTGGGAGAAAAGGAAAGGAGGAGGCAGCAAGGGTAAATTACATTACAGGAAAAGGCACAAAAACCTATTGTACCAGAGGGAAGAAGGGAGGGAGATGAGCATTATTTGAACCTTACTCTCATCAGTTTTGGCTCAAGGAGGGAATAACAATCAGTTAGGTATAGAAATCTAACTTGCCCTATAGGCAGTAAGAGGGAAAAGGGGAAGGAAAAGGGAGGGGGAATAGAAGGGAGGGAGGAAGTAGTAAGGGTAAGGGGAAAGAAAACGGAGGGGACTAATAGAAGTGAGGTGGAACTGAGGGAGGTGGTGGTCAAAAGCAAAACACTAGTAAGGAGGGAAAGGGAGAAAGGAGAAAGAAAAGCATAAGCAGGGAGGAAATGGGATGGAAAGAAAGACAAAGATAGTAATCATAACTGTGAATGTGAATGGGATGAACTCTCTCATAAAACAGAAGATAGCAGAATGGATTAAAAACCATAATCCTACAATATGCTGTTTACAGAAAACACATTTGAAACAGAGGGACACACACAGGGTAAAGGTAAAAGGTTGGAGAAGAATATATTAGCTCAGCTGAAGTAAAAAAATCAAGGGTAGTAATCCTGATCTCAGACAAAGCAAAAGCAAAAATAGATCTTGCCAAAAGAGATAAGGAAGGAAACTACATCCTGCTAAAAAGCACCATAGACAATGAAGTAATATCATTACTAAACATATATGTAACAAGTGGTATAGCATCCAAATTTTTAGAGGAGAAGTTCAGGGAGCTACAGGAAGAAATAGACAGCAAAACTATACTAGTGGGAGACCTCAACCTCACCCTTTCTGAACTAGATAAATCTAACCACAAAATAAACAAGAAAGAAGTTAAGGAGGTGAAAAGAATATTAGAAAAGTTAGGCATGGTAGACCTCTGGAGAAAATTGAATGGGTATAGAAAGGAATATACTTTTTTCTCAACAATACATGGCACATACACAAAAACTGACCATGTAATAGGGCATAAAAACATCACAATCCAATGCAGAAAGACAAATATTAAATGTATCCTTTTCAGATCATGATGCAATAAACAGTATATGTAATAAAAGGCCACAGAAAGATAGGCTAAAAAATAATTGGAAATTAAA